GGATTGTATCAGAATAAATGCAATAATTCAGACACATTTCTCATAGAATTGACCAAACTCAGTTCCCAACACGTGAGAGAGAGAGAGAGAAAGAGAGAGGAAAGACTCCACTAAGAAAAGACTTCCACAAACGATGAGAAAGCACAGAGAATTCAACAGGTGTAGCAGGGGAGAATACTAATGTTCTATGGCTGAATAAAACCGTCTGACCACTCGCCCTGTCTTTGCTTGACCACGTCGTCTGCACAGCCCCTCTCTCCCTCCCCCACATTCACACGATCTGTTTCTCTGCCAGGTAGGAAATTAATAATGGCAGCCAGGTGGTCAGCAGATTGTCCATCTAAAATTAACAACTGGGTCAGGGAAGAGCTTTGCAAACACAAAGTCTGGAATCCCTTTGGGGATGTGGTCCTCTCAAGCAGACTTACTAACCTGACACAGGGCAAAACCCAGCCTAGGTGGGATGGGCATTCGGAAGGTGACAACACATTCTCTCCTGATTTCTAGACCAGTCAGAGACCCAGTGCAGATTCTGTATGGGAAAAACAACATGGAGTTGATGAGGCTAAATGTCATGAGGCAAGAGGGGAAGGACTGGCAAGGGTTTGAGAGAATGGAGGGAAGTTGGTTAGATTTGTCTTCCTTTGTTTCCAAGGCAAACAACAAATATATCATGTACCCGTGTCTGCTGCCAAGACCTTTCATTTCATTCCACCCAAGCCATTTATTCATTTACTCAACAAGTATGTCTTAAGGACCCTCTGAGTACTAGCGTGTGCTCTAGGACCTGGAGATATGTCAACAATGAATGGAACCAGCACTACCTACCTCTGCCCTCACTCTTTTTGTTTACTCAGCTCTGAGGAGAGTGTGAAGTAAGATGGAGTTGGGCTTGGTTGGGGAGGGTCCCCTTCTATGACCCTCACGTGTTTAAATGTATTGAGAGATCACTCGGTGATTTCGTCAGTCCCACCCACCAACTGTAATCTATAAATTTCTGGTGTTTGCACATACAGAAATGCTCACTGACAAGGCACTGGATGAAAAGAAACTGTTGCGATAGGAATATTTTAATTCAGTGTCTGCTGGGTCAAGAATGTTTGCTCTTGCATTGAAGGACTTGACAGTTAAGTGTTTTGCAGCACTGTGAAAACCCCACTGTTCAGAGTGGCAGAAACGCAAGGCATACCTGAGAGAGTAGACTTAGTAATTTATGCTAAATTTGTGCTTTGATTTCACAGCCACAGGTGACCCCACACTCAGTGTCTCCCTTGAAGCCACCTTGCAGCTGCACCCATTCATGGCCTTTAGCTAATCAAAGGAAGGAAAATTTTAAATCAAACTGCCATTGTATTTCCTCAAATCTAGGAAGGCATTGATAGCAAGTAGAAGTTGCATGCTTTAAATGTTAACAACCATCATTTTACATGTGTGTAGTGCTTTCAGTTTTTCCAAAATACTGTTTATGCTACTGAATTCGATTTGATTATATAACAGGATAGATAGGATATTATAATGTCCTTTCCAGATAAGAAAAGGGAGGCAAAGTGGAATAAAATGTTTACTAAAGACATACAAGCGGTTACTGGGGACAGCTGGGCGAGAAAACAAACTCCTTGACCAATATTATGCTTATTCCTGCCTTTGGTTACACACTCTAAGTTCTATTAGCATAAACCTTTGTTTAGATCACTACGCGATCAATAGCTTCAATGCCTAGTAGTAATTAGGATTGTAATAGTAATGAGTAGTAATGCTTAGTAAATTATTTCCTTTCTTCCAATTCTTTGGATATATTTTAACTGCTATGCTCCTAACTTCTTTTTTTTAAAGATTTATTTTTATTTTTATTTATGCATCTAAGAACTGGGGTGTAGGCCAGAGGTGGGGGGGGTGAGAGGATTCACCAGAGACAGAGTGGGGAGCAGATCAGGGAGATCTACTGAAATACACTGCTGAGGGGAGCAGTGGGCAAGACCTGAGAGGCACGCTGCGCCATGTGGGTAGCTCCCTGGCTGGGGCCAGACTAGTGCTGCAGTGGCTGGTGATAGCTTGATGGTGCTGAGACTTTACCCCTGTGCCACCAGGGAGGTCCTCTGTTCCTAACTTCTTAACTCATCCAAGGGGTTAAAGTCCTTTGCACACTTTAAAAGTAGAATTTTGTTGTTGTTGTTGTTCAGTTGCAGAAGTTTCTTTTTCTCTAGATATTAATTCCTTATCAGATATATGATTTGCAAATATTTTCTTCATTCTTTGGATTACCTTTTCATTCTGTTGATAGTGATCCTTTGATACACAAAAGTTTAAAATTTTGTAAATCAAATTTTTTTTTGTTTTTTCTTTGGTTGCCTATGTTAGGTGTCGTATCCAAGAAATCTTCATCAAATACAAAGACATGGAACTTTCTTCCTGTGTTTTCTTCCTTTAGCTCTTAACATTTAGGTTTTTATCTATTTTCAGTTAATTTTGTAGTTATGTGGTAAGGGCTCAACTTCATTTTTTCTTGGCATGTGACTATCCAGTTGTTCCCAACACCATTTGTTGAAAAGATCATTCTCTCTCTGAATATTACTCCTCCTTGATCCTCTCTCATCTCTCTTTTGGAAAGCTGAATAAATGCAGACTTATTTTTCTTGCTTCACCCTCCATATTTTTAAATCTCTCTTTCTTAGTTTCCCTTATTGTGTAAGATTAACTTTGTATTATTTCTTTAGCTTTGTTTTTCAATTTACAGACTTTTCTCCATCAATCTGTTATGTAGTCTGTCCACCAAGTTTTAAATGCAATTGTTATTTTTTTTCATTTTTGCAGATCTTTTAGTTCTTTTTCAAATATGTCTAGTTGTTTTTAGTATTATTCTTTACTCATACTTTCCATTAATATCTCTTACTTATAAAACTATTATTCATAGTTATTTAATATTTGATAAACACTAATACCTATGTTGAAAGCCTTGGCAGGTGATTTTTTTCACCCCTACTTGTTATTGCTGCAGTCTCTGACTTAGGGGATTTTTGCATCCCTGTGTATGCTATGATTTTTGATTGTGAACTAACATTCTTTGGAACTTTGTGGGAATTCTTAGGGGCCTGAGCAGAGAAAATTTGGGTTTGCTGTTGCCAGAGTCTTGTATGCTACCAATCTGGGGCCACTTTGAACTAAATTTTGATTTTTTTTTTATTCATTTTTTTTTTTTTTTTGTAACATGAAGGAAATCTGAATTCAGGCTTCAAACTTATTTGAGGTGACACGTGGTTAAAGGAGACTAGGACACAAAGGAGACTAAGACACTTTACCAAATGCCACATTCAATATATTAATTGTTTTTCACTATATTACTTTGAGGGATAGGTGTGCATCTCTTTTAAATATTCACTGTGTGTGTGTGATCCTTTGCAACTCTGGATAAAGATTTAGATCTCTGGTCTTACTCTAGAGCTTATGTGGACTTCAGGCTTATTGTGCTGCCTCCAAGTGGTCATAGAACAAATGCTCTAGAGGACTGCAGACCCTCAGATGATCTAGAACAGCCTCCAGACTTCAGTGTTTGCCCTCCTCTTTTGATTTGTGCTCAGTTCCATCTTTGACTAGGAGTATTTCCTTTATTTTCATGATAAGCAGATGTTTGTTAGATTTTATCAGGTAGCTTTAAGAGGTCTATGGCAGAAGATTTTAAAGTAGGAACTCCTCTGTTATACTACACACCTCCAAGGGTTTTGACAGCTCTAGATTCAGTGAAGCTTTTAGATTAAACTTTGGTGTATGTCTTGTGGGTATGAATTCTCACAGCAATATGTGAAATACATATTATCATTATCATCATTCCCATTTTAGAGATGAAGAAATTGAAGCATCAAAAAGTGAAGGGATATGCCCAAAGTCAAATAGTAAATAAGTGACAGGTGTTTGAGTCTAAGAACGCTGACCTTAGCATACATGCACTGAACCACTCCAATTGTATTCAGTTTCTTCCTTGTGCCCAGTACTGTTTTTTCCTGGTTATAATCAAAATGAGGAGGCAATGTCTCCCCATATGGAACCTCGGAAGGCATATAAAGTTTTATGTTATTTATATTGGTCCTTAAGTATTAGAGATGTTTGTAGGAAGGGTGATTAATAGGAAGTTTTGTGTCAAGTCCTATCGGTCTTGAGAAATGGATTTGAATTGAGAGAAGAGAAAAGGGAAAGACAAAGAAACTCCAATGGAGAGGAGAGACATGAGCTCAAGGTCAGAAGTAGAAATGGTCATGACAATATATGTGTGTGAATATGTCCCATGGAGCAGAAGGTCTTCGTCCACAAAAAATGGGCAATTCAGTTGGATTGGTATGGAGGAGCCTGAAACCCAGATAAAGAAAGTTAGATATAATGGGTAGAAATTAGGTTCAAGGAAGATCCCTTTGTAATGGTATACTTGATCAAAATTACCAAAACTGTAAAGGGTCTGACCTTTTATCCTACCAGCAAGCAAAAAAGTTAGCCTGTTACATGGATGCCAGCAGAAGACAATATTCGTGAATTAGAGTCAAAGGATTTTATTGCTCATGTTACAACACTGAGCACACCTTTCGCTTTCCCATTTCCTTTGCTCCTTGAGTCCCACAGAGGTGATGCAGAGTTAATACTACATATTATGCCAAAGCTGGGAATCCTCAAAAGACTCAGGAACTCAAATCTTTTATAATCGGCTGTAAGAACACCTGTCTGACTTTTGCCCAAAGGGAGACTTTCTCTTTTTTTAAACCAGACAATAAACAAACCCTGTTTTCTGCTCTATAGGGAGACAGTTAAAAAATAAGACCATCTGCACCTCTGCTTATGAGAAGCAACACCAGAAACTCATGAGAAATTTTTTCCTAATAGAATTAATCTGAAAAATTGCAATCTGAGTATAAGCATTTGTGTGAACGCCAAGAGAGCAGAGATTGTCTGTTGTCAAGGACTGAATTCTTATGTTGATGTTCTCATTCCCATTGTGATGGTATTTGGGGGTGATTAGATCATGAGGGTAAAGCCCTCATGAATGGAATTTGTGCCCTTATGGAAGATATACAAGAAAGAAGATCTCTCGCTGTCTCTCTGCCATGTGAAGATACAGCAAGAAGGAGGTAGACCGAAAATCAGAAAGGGGGTACTTAACACATGCTCCTCCAGTTGCCACCTTGATTTTGGCCTCCGCAGACTCTAAAATTTGAGGGGTAAACCTCTGTTTAAGCCACTCAGCCTATGGTATTTGTTACAGTAACCCAAACTGACTAAGGAACCAGCTGTCAGTGTTACCCACAGTTATAGTCCTACAGATAAATATGTAATAGACCTTCCCAAGAAGGTCTATTACATATAAAGTTTTATGTTATTTATATTGGTCAGCAAATCAGAGATTTGTTGACAGTTTTTTTGTGTTTGTTGTATGCCAGACCCAGGATTAGCCACTTGATAAGTGGTAACTTATTTAATTCTTGTAACAATACTACTTTTATTTATCCCACTTTACAGATGGTAAAACTGAGACATAGAAAGTTTTAATTAACTTGCTCCAGATGATACACGTAGGAGGTGGTAGACCTGGGATTCTGAGAGCGACATATGGCTCTAGAACAATAAACTACCTCTCAATGTCTGCCTGGTGGTGGTAAGTAATGAGTTTTGATCTCAGAGTTTCTTTTTTTTTTTTGTGAAAATGCTGGAGTGACATACTTTCAAAGTCTACCCCTCCAAAAAAGCTATGAGGAATCTGACAGAATCAACTTTTTCAGAACTATGGGGCTACATAGATGCTTGTAGTAGTCCAAGGAGCACTTATTACAACCTGGTTGGCAGTACTTCAACTTGCTCTAGGTCCATCTCCAGCACCCCAGCTCTACAGTAGCCTTGAAAAGAACAGCCTGCATTCTAGGGCCAGTACCAGAGAGAGGAGAATGAATACCATTTGGAAATATTTGTCTTTGGTTGATCTGTCTGGTGGCTGCCTAGAAAACGCTTCAGAAGGCATGTTTTATCTCACTTAACTCAGAGCTTGTCCCGCCCTCAAGTGGATACCCCAGTCATTTGTAGAAAACACTTGTAAGCGAATGTTTTAGCCTTTGCTGCCAAGGCAATGGATAACAATTGGGACAAACAATGTATTAATCAAATACCTTCTTGGGAAGCCTGGGGAATAAGATGCTTTTAGGGAGTGTTAGAAAACTCTGACAAATTTCTGGGAATCTTTAAGTCCCAGGGCAATTCGCAGGCTCAAGGAAGATCAGAAATGCTCCCAAGTTCTGACCTTCAGTTGACCTGCACAAGCTGTAAGTGAAGGCCAAGGCAGAGTCATAATTTTCCTGGCTGAAAGCATGCCCCAACAAACACACAAACTCTCTCCGCAAAGACTAGGAGATTTTTGTTGTTCTAGGTGTTTAAGATAATCTCTGTACAGTCATTAAATTGAGATAAAGGAAATGTGGTATATAAGTGGATCAATTAAATCTGGAATACACATGCAGTGGAGTAATATTCAAGCTTAAAAGGGAGGAAATTATGAGGCATGGCACACATGGATGAATGTGGAGGACATTCTGCTGAGCGAAGTCAGATGCAATTGGACAAATACTGTCTGACTCTACTTATGCGAGGTACCTAGAGTGTCAAAATCATGGAGCTAAAATGGAATGGTGGCTTCTAGTAGTTGCATGGGGAAGAGGATTAGAAAGTTATTGTTTAATGGATATCAAGTTGCAGTTTCACAAGATGGAAGGAGTTTCAGAGAAGGATGGTGGTGATAGTTGCATTGCAATGTGAATACATGAAATATGGTTTGCCCATATAATGGAATATTATTCAGGCATAAAAAGGAATAAAGTACTGACAATGCAACAACACAGAAGCACCTCAAGAACATTATGATAAATGAAATAATTTAGCCTTCAAAGATTGTATATTCTATTGTCTCATTTATAGAAATGTCCAGAACATTCAAATCCATAGAGACAGAATGTAGATTAGTAGTTGCCATGGGATGGAGGTATTTGTTTAGGAAGATGGAAATGTATGGAAGTTAGATATTGGCAGTGGTTTTCAATAAAGTGAATATACTGAAAATTCACAATTGTATACTTTAAAGTTGATAAAATGGTGAGTTTTATGTTATTTGGATTTGATCTCAAATTTAAAAAAAGGAATGAATCAAGGGTGAATGAATTGCTTTCAGGTTTCAAGTCTGGGTAAATAAAAGAATAATCTCATCGACACAGATGAGTACACTAGAAAAGGGAGTCTGATTTTTGAGGCAGATGGCAAATTTGACTTTAAATATGTTGGCTTCCGACTGAAGACTATATTTGATTGGAAATTGTGCTCTCTGATGGATAACTAGTGAGTGTTCAGGGTTAGAAACTGGATTTAGAGACCTTTAGCATGGAGACAGAGAGAGTAAAGCCCTCGCTAAGGAGGACCCCTTCTTTGCATAACATAGCTTGTTATCTCTCTGAGAAGGCCTAATGCTTTAAAATAAGCAAGACCCTACCAGCTTAAAAAATGGACCACTCGGACCTCCCCTGGTGGCACAGGCGGTTGAGCACAGCGCTGTGAAGCTGTCTGCAGCCTCTGCAGCGTGGGTTTGAAACTGCCCGGCTGGTGAGGGTCCCAGATGGCGTGGCAGACCTCTCCTGTCTCGCCCGCTGCTCCTCTCAGCAGTGTATTTCATCGGTCTGCCTATTCTGTTCCCCTCTCTGTCTCTGGTGAATCCTCTCACCCTCCCGCACATCTGGTCTGTACGTTGGTTCTTGTATAAATAAATAAATAAATCTTTAAAAAAAAAAAATGGACCACTCTGGGTTGGCAAGATGTTAGTAGAAATAAAGGTAATTCTGGCCTGCACTGGGTTTCCTTCCCTCTTCCTCTTCAAGTTGGGACCCAATCTTTCTACGAGGAAAATGCACTCCTCACTTCCCCAAATCATTGAGACACCAAAAGACTGGGTTGACATTTCGGTGAACACTCTCCATTTGGGATTTTAAGCAGGGACTGATTGATGTTTCTAAGAAATCACTCTTGCTGGGTTGAGAATGGTTGGAAGAAGTATGTAGACCAGACTGTGTGCTTTTTCCCTTTTCATAGTGAACCTCCCCAGAAATGAAATTCTTCTGTTTTTTTTTTTTCCAAAATCAATTCCTGATTTTGAGGTACTATATGTACACCTGAATTCACACAGATTCTCCTTAATTTCATTTTTGGGGTGTTCATCAGTTAAAAAAAAAAACAACCCATTAAAAATTACATTTCATGGTTGGATTACCAAAGAAGTGGGGTGTGTGTGTGGGTGTGTGTGTGTGTGTTTAGCAGAAACAATTCTTTAGAAATGTTCTAGGTATTATAACCTAGCAGGTAGATCTACAAATAAACTTTTGATTTCATTTTTCCATCAGATTCCAAATTATGTTTTTTTTTAAAGGTTAACCAAAGGTTTATTTACAAGGAAAGGGGAATGAGGAAATGTACAACTCAGAGAGAAAGAGGGAGATAAATTCTTACATGCATCCTACCTGTTCTGCCAAAACTGCCTGGCCAAGAGCACGAGCCACATGCCCCCAAATTATGGTTTTTATGTTTTCTTTTGTTAGGAGGAAACTGAGTCTCCTGGTCTGAAGGTGTAGACATATGCAGCTTCCTGGCATTCTAACAGGGATCACTGTAGTTTTCCTTGAACAAATCCCAGGAAGGTTCACAGTGAAATAAACAGACTTTGCAAGCAATAGCATGGTAAGCTAGTCTGCGGGTCTGTACTGTTGTATATTACAGGTCTGGTTAGTTCTTCTGTCTGAGTGTTCAGAGAATTTCCTTAGAAAATTAGGACTATAAAGGAACGCTCTTAGAATGACTAGAAGCCATGAAAATTTTTATTTGTTCTTTCATTATTGATGGATACTGAAAAAAAAAAAGAGATGACAAGTATTGAATCTAGGAACTGGTCTGAATGTGGACAGCCATGCCTGGTTTTGTACACTGTGTCCAAGAGCAAGATGTTCCCTTCACATTATAAGCCACAGATGAAAGGACATTCATATGGTTGTGCTGTGTGTTTTCAATAAACATTTCCCATCTTCAGTTGGTTGCTCCAAAGCGTCACTTCTCTCCCCAGACTCTGCACAGACCTGGACTTCTTCTCTCAGATGATGGGGGCTGGTGCGTCATCAGATAGAGGACATCAAGCAGCTTCTTGTATTCTCTCCTCCCCGACAGCCCTCTCCCCCTCCTGAAAGGGGGCCACACAGCCACTTCTGTAGCTAACTTCTCTACATCTTCCCCAAATTAAGCAGCTATGTAGAGAAGGGAATACTAGGAGAATGACCACGTTCCAGGGGAGAAAGCCTTCATAAAACATTCACCATCTTGCTTCTCTCTCCAGTGGTTTCTTTTGAAGGGGCGGCCATTTTCCTGTCTCTTTCAATTTTGGCTTAGAGCATTTCTCACCATCATTCCCAGCTTTATTGCTTCCCTCACAGCTTCTTGAAACTCTTCATGTTTTTTGGCCACTGTAAAGCTACTCTCTTCTTGGGGTCTTGGATTTCCTTAACTCTTTTCTGGGTTCTTCTTTGCCTGTCCATCCACTGATAGTAGGGTTCTTCAGGAGTCATCCTTAGCAGAACTTAGCCTGTCACTCTTCTACCTTCCCCTTTTCATGGTTATTTCACTTCATCTCCCACATACGTGTACTTGCTAAGCACCTCCACTTTCTCGGGCCCCTCAAGCTTGGCTAGTCCCAGTTACTACCAATTTCTCCCTCCTTTTTCAGTTGGCCTGCAAATTAGCTACTGATTTTAGCTTTTGATCACTGAGAGGATCTTTCAGCTTTGCTCATAGAAGATTTCAGATCCTCCCCTATGTAAACCTCCAGGTAAGCTAAGAGGCCCTGAGCTCTTCATTTTCTTTCCTAAGTTCTCTAGCTCACTTAAAATAAACCAATTCATTGGATTGTAGTTTGTAATGTTGCCAGGCTATCTTACGGCAGCAAAGACTCACATATCCAGAGCTTTACCTCATATGATTGAAGCTGGCAAACATTGCCTCCTGGGGTTGAATCTGGCATTGTATGTGTTTTTGTAAATAAAGCTTTATTAGAACTCAGTTATTTGTTCATGTATCTATTGTCTATGGCTGCTTTTGAGCTAATACTATAGAATTGTGGCTTACAAAGTCTACAATATTTATTAATCTGTCCCTTTTCAAAAAATGTACCAACCCCTGTTCTATGAGTATTTGATTAAAGGTTTCAATGTGTGATAATGACACATTGTGTAACTATTTTGCTACTGGATGTTGGTCACTGCTAGCATTCCCTTTATCCCTAGAAACAGGGCCATTAATACCATTATAGTTAATAAAATCAGAGAATGAATTCCTAATAACCCAGAACACTCATTCTTTAAACCTTAGACACCCAGAATCATGTCCAATAACCAATTCTCTTTCAGAGTTCAGAGAAGCAAAACCACTAGAGATTTTTTTTTAACAAAATAAATTTTCATTGAGGTAACATTGGTAAGTTTCAGATGTATAGCTTTACTAATTCAACATCTGTTTATGCTATACCATGATCAACAACAGAGCCTAGTTTTGATTTCACTCACATGTGGACTATAGAGAAACAAAGCAAATGAATAAGCAAAACAAACTTAGATACAAAGACCAGATTGTGGCTATCAAAACTGCTAGAGATTTGATCTTACACAACTGTGAGATGTGGTTAAACGGTCTCTGTGAAGCTGTGTCCGCTGGTCTGTGCCTGATGCTGGGCATGAAGTCTGCAGGGCAGCCATGGGGAAGGCAAGATTCATGTGAAGTAGAGAAGGGGGAGCTGGCCCACAGAGCACCACTGGGATCCCACCCAGATGGACTTGAACCCGTGTCAGTTTCTTGTTACCTCCAATTTGAATGACATGGGTGTCATCCTGGAGGAGGTGGCACTGCCATGGAACTGAACACTCATGTAGCTGAAGGAAGATTCAGAAGAGAGGAGTCTGCTACAGGACTGGCACCTGCCCCACACCAAGGAGATGAGCCCACAGATATGTGCCAGTGTGTGTGTGTGAGCGCAATCATGGCCTCCTAATCCTGCAGGGACCTTTCCTGCATTCATGCAAATGGCCACTGCTTCCCTTCCACCTCCCTGAAGTACACTTCTGTGGGGAGCAGTAGGCGAGACAGGAGAGGTCTGCTGTGCCATATGGGGGTTATCTCCCTGGTGGGGTATCGAACTCAGGCCATAGGGATGATAGCACTGAGACTTGAACCATTACTTGCATTTTTTTTTTTAAGAACTGCTGTACTGATTTCCACATTGCGACCTGCAGTGCACAAGGGTTCTAATTTCTCTACATTTTCTCCAACACTTGTTTTTTTCTGGTTTTGTTTGTTTGTTTTGAAAACAGTCGGACTAATGGATGTAAAGTGGTGTTTCATTGTGGATATGATTTGCATTTTTCCTAATGATTGGTGATATTGAGTATCTATGTGCTTATTGGTCACTTGCATATCTTGGAGAAATATCTACTCAACTCAGTTTGCCCATTTTAATTTAATTGGGTTGTTTTTGTGTTGTTGAGTTATAAGAGTTCTTCATATGTTCTGGATATTAAACTCTTGTCAGATGTCAAAGGGCACTTGCAAATATTTTCTTTGGTTCTATGTGTTGCCTTTTTATTCTTTTGATAGTGCCCTTTGAAGTGCATGAATTATTAATTTTGATGTAGTACAATTTACCAACTTTTTCTTTTGTTACCCATACTTTCATGATGTGTCCAAGAAATCATAGCCAAGTCTAATGCCATAAAACTTTTTCCTATTTTTTTTTCTATTCCCAACACCATTTGTTGAAAAGAATGTCCTTTCCACACTGAATGGTCTTCATCCCCTTGTTGAAAAATCACAGGAACATATATGTGAAGCTTTATTTCTGGATTTTCTGTCAATAGACCCCATTGATCTGCATATCTGTCTTTATGCCAAACCACATTGTTTTTATTACTACCAAGCTTTGTAGTAAGTTTCAAAATCAGGAAATGTGAAATCTCCAACTTTTCCCTTCTTTTTTCAAAATTGTTTTGCTTATTCGGAGTTACAGAGCTTAGCCCTTTTTTTCTTTAATAAAATGACTATCAATATCTTTGGTATATTTAATAAAGTACTATCCATTCAAACAACTCTTTTCTTAAATAAATCAAAACTCATCAATTGGAACCTATTGTGCACTGAATAAAGTCCCAGCTCCTTAGCAGGACACCAGAGTCCTCCAGGTTCTGTCTTCCACAGTTTTACTCCCCTTATCTTACCTGTATGCCCACCTTTCACCTTGTATTTCCTTTACAGCTTCTAAGCAGATGCCTTCCTCTTCATACCGCTGTAACATTTCTTAATACTGTTCCTTTTGCTAAGAACACCCTGCCCTGCCACTTTTTTGGGATTGACTTCTCCTAATACTTCTTTCAGGACTTGCATTATATTTGATCTTCTCCAAGAAGTTTTTCCCATACCTTCCACCTGGGCGGTGGTGCCCTCTCTGAGTTCCCATGGCCCCTCAGGCTATGCTGTCTGGTTATCACATATATTAAATAACGATTGTCTATAAGTGCTTTAGGATCAGGGATCCAGTCTTCTTCTTTTTAAACTTCTACTGGCTAAGTACTTTTTGGCACATAGATAACAATTGTTAAAATGATTTGAGCAGAGCTGAAAGGAATTTTGTGTCTGCAAGGCAAGGGTCTAATACTAGAAGTGAGATATCACTGCCCCTGGCAAATGGAAGTCCAAGTAGAGAAATCCTACACTATGGATCCTGAGGATCAGTCTGTTGCAGAGGAATATAATATCAGATGACTTTTACTTTATAAGATGGGAAATTTCTCCTATGGTCAGATTGCCATACAGGGCATCTATTTGGAAAAGTATATAAAGTTCAGGTCATTCCAAAGGCAACTAGGCAAAAATCCAATTCCTCTGTGGTGTAGTAGTCCTTTCCTGGAGGGAAGCCAGAGGGCCTGGGAAGTTATTTATTTCTAGTGCTTTTCGATGGAAACATGTTTGATGCAACTTTAGCTCTTTATTTCTTGAGAACGTTTCTCCAAGTGCATTTCAGTGAGTTTTGGTATTGTAATTACTTTGAAGTCATATGGTTCTAAACCCAGAGAAAACTTAATGAACCTGGTTCCTGAGGCATGAAAGATGAGCAAATGTATTTAGGACCAAATGCATAAGTGGGCCCCCCACCTGCCCCCCAAGCAGGGCCAGATGCCAGGCATGGGTGGATCTGGTAATCACAAGAGAGACATCCTCATCAGGAACCCCCTCCCCACACTCTGCTCAGAACCCTCACACACACACACAGATGTGTGATGTGTCCAAACAATGAGTCCAGTCATGGGAAGACCTCACAGTCTCCCTAGAAAAGTGAAAAGAGTGAATGATGAACTTCCCAACTCAAATGCCCCTGTCTGTATTTGGTCAATCTGAGCATAAGGATTTGCTTGGTCATCTCTGGCTTTTCTGCACTGTAGTTTGTCTGTAATGTGTATTTGGTAAATGTTTGATATGAGATTTAATCCCTGAGGAGCACACTGTGTTTTTCAGGGAAATTGCTGTCATTTTTCTGCATATCGGAGGAGGTGTACTCTTAATTACTGGTATCACGTATGGTGTCATCCTGCTATGCTCCATTCTCTAATGCACTCTTACTTCTAAGAATTGTGAAAATGCTGTAGCAACTGACACATCCCAAACAAGTCATCTGCAATCTTAAATGCTCAGGCACTGAAGAAAAGTATTTAAAGAAAATGGGAAAAGGGACATTCTGGTAGTGAGGGCACAGGGGGGAAATCTGGAAGGAATGAATACTAATTAAAGTTAAGCGGTTTGACAAAAAAGGTTCAGTTTCGTGATCATCTATTTTCATCCTGGTTCTCGTGGCCCCTTTGGGTCTCAGGTTGCTAATTATATTTTTTAATTTTTCCTTAAAAATGTATTAATTCCAGATTAGGTTGTCTTCCTTGGGCTTGACATTGTTCCCTCAGAAACATAGTATTTTTATTTCTTAGCACTGACAACTGAGTTCAGACTACCTGTTTTTCCAATTCTCTACGACCCCATGTCAAAAAGGAAAAGTTCTCCTTGAAAGGAGAGCATCTTGTGGGGGGACAGCTTTCAAAGTGCTGCTTGGACCTGAGCTCTCTGGCCTTGGTCACACAAAAAGGGAAGGTTCCCCTTTAAACAATAATGCTCTTACGAACCTATTTTTTTTTGCATCATAATAGCCATTTCATCCCTGCCTGCATCACCAGATGGGGAGTGCTGATGTCAGGCTACCTCAAGGCTCAGCGCTGTGGTAGGAGTGGCCCAGCCTCCAGGGCAGGGCGTTTATTGAGCACCTACACTCTGCCAGGCATCGGAGCACAGATAAAGGATGGCCCCTGTGCTGGCAGAGCGCAAATCCAGGTGAGGAGTGGCCGGCCACCCAACAGCCACATGGCAACCTGGGCAAACTCAGACTAGACGTGAGCGCCCAGGGCCACCGGGAGGGTTTCTCCAATGTGGGCAAAGAAGAACTTTCCAGAGAGCAGGCAATGCTTGACCCCGGGCCTTGAAGGAGGTGTGTGATCTCACCAGTTAGACAAGAGTTGGTTGAGAACAGTGGGATAATGAGTTTGGGTAGATAAGGTGGTTACAGCAAACTTGAAAACCAGGGGGGTGAATGTGGTCCTGAATTGGCAGGTCAACAGTAGGCCCAGGAGCAGAGGGCCCCTGGAGGGTTGTTCCAGGAGAACTCGCCAGATGTGAGTTGGAGACATGGGGGCTGGCCTGGGGGCTGCCAGGTGGTTCTTCCAAATCCCTGTCACCCGGAAATTCTGGGTGACAGGCCCGGGAGCTGGGGCTGGAGTGATGACAGGTGTGGAGAGGAAGGGAAGGTGCCCCCACAGGAAGGGACGGTGCTTGGCACCGAGCTGGAGATGGAAGAGAGCAGGAGGATATTTAAATAACTGACAGGACTTGCTATACGGAAAAGGAGGGAGTGTGGAACATGAGGGTGACACTAAGGATTGTAACGAAGGAGCTAAAGGAATGGTTATTATTTTGTTAACAGGATGAGGAATATGAGGGATGAGGTGAATTCAAAGAAAAACAAATTAATGCGTCGCTGGCTCCTGGGGGAAGAACTGACCTCCTCCTGAGGACAGGGTGGAGAACCTGGCAGCTGATCAGTGAACGCACATAGGAGGTTGACAGCGCAGGTAAATAGGGAAGTGAAGCCTCAGCCTGCAGCCTCTGGTGCAGGGGATGCCTCTCAGAGTGACACCCAGGCTGTTAGCCTCTCTGGCCCCAGTTTCCTTGTCTGGAAAATGGGAGTGTTGGTCAGGGCTAGCTAGTGCCTATCTAGCATTGGTCACGGGTGACGCTGCTCAGTTTTGCTGACAAGGATGTTCTTCCTCCTTAAAAAACCAACCCCACCACTTGGGTCTGTCCCTTCCCTCGGAAGCGAGCAGGGGAAACCCACAAAGGAGGTGCAGGGAGAGCCTTAGGGCTTGTGGCTGAAGAGCTGTTTCTCCTGGGTTTGAAGGATCCCGTTGCCATAAATGGAAGCAGTGTTTGGAGAGTTGTTTTTGCCGTGTCTCCTGGACTTAAATGGAACTGTACTCTGGTGCAGAGATGGACAGAAGAGAGGAGACTAGAAGAGAGCAGAGGAGTGGGTGTCTCCGTTGGGAGCAGGCCGCCAGTCCATGCACTGGGGTTCCAAGTTCAAATATGCTTGCAGCAAAGTTTCAGTTCAGCTTTTTCTCTATGCACAATGAAGCTGTTGTGTGTCCAGAAGCTCGGAGAATGCAGCTGGATTTCTAGGACTCAATGGCCAGTGTCTTTTTGATCCTCCTCTTTTGGAGATACACCCCGCAGGACACATTGGTTCTGGAGAGTAAGATACCAGCCAGTTGTTGCTGTAAAGGCTAGAAGACAGAAGCATATCCTAGCCGGAGTTCTCAGCCCACACGGGCCGCTGGGAGCCGCTGGGAGCCGCTGAGCGATCGGCGAGTCATGGCTCCCAGTAGACCAAGCAACGCTTTGCCCTTCAGATGTGTCCTGCCACAGACGGCCATTTAAAGGGGTTAAGTTCCTGGACTGCTGGGTGCTTTTGCTGCGTTAGTTTAATTTTGTAAGCTGCCCTGTATAGGAATGTGTTGAATAAATGCCCATCTGATTTCAAAAGCCCAGAGGGATTTCTGTGCTTACTGCTTATCGGGTCTAATCAGACGTTCCCTGAAAGGGCTCTGACCCTGTCTCTGGGGGAAAAAATATCTAACATTACAGATTATTTTCCTGCTACACCTCTGTGTGATAGTTTTTCTGGGATTTTTCTTTAGACAGAAGAAGCACAAAAGGAAACTGGGGTTTCGCAGTGGGGGTGAGTGGATACGTTCAAATACAATGATAATAATAGCTGACATTTATTCAGGGCTTAGGCTGTGCCAAGCATTGATAGAGGTACTTGATTTCCTTCATTTTAATGGTCAAAGTGATAATGAATATTATTTCATCATCTTAAAGACGAGGAAACTGAGGTGCAGGTAACATGAAGAGCCCAATCATGATGCTGAGGGGCAGTTGCACCAGGCTCCCAGAAGTGTAGAAGAAAGGGGGAGCAAGCAAGGAAAGGGGTTGTGGTGTGAAGCCTACACACTCATGCACACACATACACACATGTGCACACATACACATCCATGCCTGTGCATGTGCAGGCATGCACACGCTCACAAACTACCGCTTATTTTATACTCACATCACTCATTGCTCTCAGAGGCGCCTTTCCTGCCAGGTTATACATAGACCTTCCCTGAGGGAGCAGCCCTTTCCACTCCAGGTCATGGGAAGGGGCAGGAAGGAGATGACTTTTTTTCCGAGGGCTGTCAGCAAACCATGTTTGGAGAAGGACTCGCATATGAAGTGATCGATAAGAGCAGCAACTGTGAGGCCCAAACCTCTCTGAGTGAAACTGTGCAACCCTCAGTTCTCAGAACACAGGGGAAATCAGACCTGTCCTTTGGGGTGCTCCGTATTGACAAAGGCCAAACACTCATCCTCATGCGTCATCCCCACACATGACACAACCCTGAACCCCTTGATTATCACCAGGGGACATATTCTGTGACAAGCCATCATGTACCCTGTAGTTTCTCGCACACTGAGAAACAACTGACAAGTCTTAGAACCACATGATTGGATGCTGTCTTGTCATCACAGTGAACAAGACTGTATTAATATTGAGGATACCCATGGTGTGTATATTAGGTGAAATAAGCTCGCAGAGCAGTCTGCATGATACAACAGCCTGTGTTGTGTAACAGATGAAAGCACATGCATGATAGACATAACAAAAATGCATAAAATAACATCTGTAGAGTGCTTAGCACACAGCAGACATTATTCTAAATGCTTGGCATTGATTATTTTTTCCTTAAAAGAACCCTATGAAATGATTCTAATATTACCTCAGTTTTCTCCGAAACAAATCAAGGTATGGAGAGGAGAAGGAAGGAGCTTGTGACTGTCACCCAAAGTCAGAAATCCCAACCCAGGTGTCCTGTTGTGGCTCTGTTGTGGAACAGTAGGCTATGCACTGAAAATCCCATAAGGGCTGCAGACAACCATCGGATCTGTTGTATCCCAGTCAAGGGAAGAGATTAGAGAGATTCTGCTTCTAGAAGGGTGGGAACTGGGTTGGGGTTAGAAGTAGAAAGGAAAGGGGTAGCCTAAGACTTGATGGAGAGGGTGAGATGGGCACAGGGTAGTCAAATTTGTGAAGACAGAAAAGAGAAAGTGGTGCCAGGGGCGGGGTCAGGATGGGAAGTTGCTATTTAATGGGTACAGGGTTTCAGCTTTGCAGAGTGAAAAGGATTAAGATGATGGTTGCTGGTGATGGTGGTGTGATGACGTGGATGTAGTTAATGCCACCGAGCCTCACCCTTAACGATGGTTAGGATGGAAAATTTTATGTTCAGTGGATTTTACTGCAACAAAAAAAGCAGAAGAAAAGCAACAGGGAGAAAGAGGACTGAGGAGCCAATGGAGGCAACAAAGAAGTATTTTGCAAACTTTAGAAGTTACCCAGTCATTGTCCTTTCGGGTATGGTCCGTTCCCCAGGGAGAATTCCTTATAACACACTTGGTGCCCTCTGAGACCAGGTGTTTGGGTTTGGAGGAAGGGCTGCTGATTAAAGGCAAGGGTGGGCTCTCTGTCTCTGAAAAGGCAAATACAGACAGGTCCCCTCCTGTGTAGAGTGCTACAGATCAGTGGGGCCACCCACAGCCCCATGAGCGTGGAGGGAAGGGATCTGATTTCGGTGGCTGGGATGCCTTGCTGGCCTGGTGACAGGCCTCTGAGAGGTGGCCCCATTCCAGCAGCTCCAAGCAGCTCCCTTGCTGAGTCTGCTATCAGTTCATCCACCTTTACCCTTGAACTAGAGCCAAGGCCTGTGGAGGAAGGAGATTGCCATTGCCTTTCAAACCAGGTCTTCCCAGCAAACGCCATGGTCAGATAGCCCAGAGTGGCCCCAGGGTCTCAGATATGGACACTGTCATAAGAGGGACTGAGTCTCTAAAGGACTATGAGCCAGGGATGAGAACAGCCTCCCTCACTTGGTATACTCCTGATAATTTTAACTATTTTTTGAGTACAAATGAGGTTTTCTTAGTTTTTCCTAAGCTTGGATGGACTTCATTTTAGAGCATGGCGTGTTTTCATCCTGATGAGCATGAATAGATACTGCCTTCTGTCTCCTCCTTGTGCTCACTGTTTCATCCCAGGCAGATATCATGAAAGCTATGTTTGCTGAGTGGATATTATGTGCTGGGAATATTTTTGCACAATTCATGTAACAGGATATTGCAAAAGAGAATATTGTCACCCTTTTATAAATAAATGAAGCTGATAATCAGAAGTTAAGAGTTTCATCCATGGCCACTTGTTTGTGGCAAAGCTGGGATTTGAACCCAGTTCTGTTCAACTCCAAAAGCTAGCAAATTTATACATTATGCTATATTCACCTTTCTTTTCTTTTCTTTTTTAAAAAGATTTATTTATTTATTTATACAAGCACTGGGTACAGTCAGAAGCACGGGAGGGTGAGAGAATTCACCAGAACCAGAGCGGGAAACAGTATAGGCAGACTGAGGATACACTGCTGAGGGGAGCAGCGGGCAGCAGGAGAGGTCTGCGTGCCATGTGGGACTCTCGCTGGTAGCCGGGGATTGAACCAGCGCTGCAGAGGCCGCAGGCAGCTTCGCAGCCCAGCACTCAACCGCTGCGCCACCAGGGAGGCCCTACATTCACCTTTCAAGTACAATTAGGGACCATTTTTGAGTCAAGTATCTCCCCAATTAATAGGAGGCCAGAGTTACAGCAGAAGTACAGGCTTGCACCTCCTCAGACAGAAGGTCTCAGATTTTCCTCCTCCCCAAGAAGCAGAAACAGCCTTTGCAGGCAATCTCTGGAAGCTACATTTTTCAGTGACTAAACACCATGAGGTCCTAGAAGAGGGTTCCTGTTCCCCCAGGTTGCTCACTGATGCTGAGGATAGAGCTCCAGCAATAAAGAAGGGTTTGGTCTGATTGTGTACAGAGCAGGAAGACTAAGCCAAGCATGCCCACCTCTCTGAGCTCAGCACTGCCCGTAGGGGAGCTCATGTCTCTTTGCATGATCTTAAGGATTATTTATGCTTCTTCAATTCAAGTTCTTAATATACAAATTACTAGTCCCTTTAAAGAGACAACTTAGGTGGGATTTGATAAGTAGGTGATTTTCTACAGCTGGCTGACCTTTGCATAGCTATACTCTGCAGTGAAATTTTTATTATGCATGGAAATGTATCTCTAAATACTGTGGCTTTTATATTTTTTTTCCCACAACCCACATAAACATGCATTTTAGACTTCTAGATTCCTACCTCCATCTCCTCAACCACCAGGCTCTGCCTCGCTTTCTCCTTCTTGCTTTGCAACCTAGAAACTGCCAGAAATATGCAGGGGTAATCAGCACCAATTTCCTTCATTTTCTATCAGGATCACTCTTTTTTTTCTGCTCGATATTTAGGGGCCAAATGTTGTTTCACTTTCCAGTTTATTGCTTATTTCAGGCAGGAAAGGAAAGGCTTGGCTTTACTCCTTATCTCTTGGAGTAAGTAAATCTCTTACTCCGTCTTGAAAATGTGACACCACTACACACCTAGTAGAATGAGACACCGCTACACATCTAGTAGAATGGTCAACATCTGGAACACTGACAACATGAAATGCTGATGAGGATGTAGAGCAATGGGAGTTCTCATTCACTGCTGATGGGAATGCAGCTGGAACCACCACTTTGGAAGATAGTTTGCTGGCTTCTTATAAAACTGGACCTACTCTTCCATATGATCCAGCTATCATGCTTCTTGGTATTTATCCAAATGAGCTGAAAACCTTATGACTACAGAAAACCTGAACGTGGATTTTCATGACAGGTTTATTCATAATTGTCAAAACTTGGAAATACAGACATGTTCTTCAGTAGATGAATGGATAAACTGTGGTATATCTAGTCAATGGAATGCTATTCAGCCTAAAAATAAAAGAACTATTGGGCCATGAAAAGATACGAAGGAATCTTGAGTGCATATCCTTAAGTGAAAGAAGCCAATCTGAGGGCCTCCCTGGTGGCGCAGGAGGTTGAGCGCCACACTGTGAAGCTGTCCACAGCCTCTGCAGCGTGGGCTCGATCCCGGCCTGCCAGCGAGAATCCCACATGGTGGGACAGACCTCTCCTGTCTCGCCCGCTGCTCCCCTCAGCAGTGTATTTTGTCAATCTGCCTGTTCTGCTCCCCACTCTGTCTCTGGTGAATCTTCTCACCCTCCTGTGCATCTGGACTGTACCCCGGTTCTTGTATAAATAAAAATAAATCTTAAAAAAAAAAGGAAAGAAGCCAATCTGAAAAGCCTACATCCCGTGTGATTTCAACTGGACGACATTCTGAAAAAGGGGACAATGGAGTTTGGATGATAGTGACGTGTCAATATAGGTTCCTCAATGGTACAAATATCCTTCCCGTGTGGGTTACTGATAGTGATGGAGGCTGTTAGTGTGTGGGACAAGGGTATATGGAACTCTCTGTACTTTCTGCTCAATTTTGCTGTGAAATTAAAACTGCTTTAAAAAATAAAGTCTAGGGCCTCCCCTGGTGGCGCAGTGGTTGAGTGCTGGGCTACAAGGCTGCCCACAGCCTCTGCAGCGCTGGTTCGTTCCCCGGCCGCCCACGAGGGTCCCATAAAAAAATTTAAAAATAAAAAAATAAAGTCTATTAAAAAAATCAAAAGTATACTCAATACAAAAGAAGGCATGAACAGAGGAAAAAGGGAATCAAGAATAGATAGAAAATAAATAGCAAGATAGTATCAAAATCCAACTATGTCAATGATTACATTAAATATTAAGAGGCAGGGCCTCCCCAGTGGCGCAGCGGTTGAGCGCTGGGCTGTGAAGCTGCCCGCAGCCTCTGCAGCGCCGGTTCGATCCCCGGCCACTGGCGAGGGTCCCACATGGTGCGCAGACCTCTCCTGCTACCCGCTGCTCCCCTCAGCAGTGTACTTCGGTCCTTCTGCCTGTTCTGCTCCTCGCTCTGGCTCTGGTGAATTCTCTCACTCTCCCGTGCTTCTGACTATACCCAGTGCTTGTATAAATAAATAAATAAATAAATAAATAAATAAATAAATATTAAGAGGCAGAGATTGTTAGGTTATATAATAAAGAAAGAATCAATAATGTGTAGATGCCAAAGAAATCCACTTTAAATATAAAGCCACAAATAGAATAAAAGTGGCAGGATGGAAAATAACACACCATAGTTAAAAGAAAGCTGGAGAGCTTGATTAATATCAAGCAATGTACCGTTCAGAGCAAAGAATGTTAGAGATAAAGAGGGTTATTTCATAGTGATAAAAAGGTCAACCCATCAAGAAGACACAGTAATCCTAAACATTTATGCATCCAATAATAGCACTTCAATTGAAACAAAACTTGATAGAACTGCAAGAGGAAATAGACAAATCCACAATTATACTCAGAATTTTAACACCCTGTTTCTTGATAATTATTAGAACAAGTAGACAGGAAGTCAGCAAGTATATAGAAAAACTGAATAATACCATCAATTAACTGGGCTTCAGGGGCATTTATAGGACTATCCATGCAACAACAATGGAATACATATTTTTTTCAAGCTCACACAAAACTTTCACCAATAAGCTATAAAATAAGTCCTAATAAATTTAAAAGAATTTAAATCATATAAACTGTTCTCCAATAGTTTATATTAAATTAGAAGTAGATCATGGAAAGATATTAGGAAAATTCCTAACTATTTAGAAACTAACATACTTCTAAATAAGTTAAAGGAGAAATAAGGAAGAGAAATTAGAAAGTATTTTGAAATGAGGATAAAAATATTTAACATTGAAATTTATAGGACACAGCTAAAGCCACACTTTGAGGGAAATTTATGGTGCTTAACACTTTCTTTAGATATGAAGGCTTCCAACCTCAACTTTCACCTTAAGAAACTAGAAAATGTAAAAATAGCAGAGAAAATCAATGAACGAAAGAAAACAGAGCTCTCACTCATTGCTGGTGGGAATGTAAAATGGTATAATCATTTTATGATATGACTCGGGAATTTCTTAAGAAGCTAAATAAAACCTCCCACTTACTCTAAGGGCTCCAAAACTTGGTGTTTACCAAGAAAACATATGTCCATACAAAAGATTGTATCTGAATGTTTACGACAACTTCCTTTGCAATGGTCCCAAACGGGAAAGACCAGCTGTCGATCAGCAGGCGAATACATAAGCAAATTATTGAATTATGGCAGATCCATGCAATGGCATCCTACTCAGCAATGACAACGAATGAACTATCGCTGCACAAACACAAGGATGAATCTCAGAATAACTATGCTGAGATAAGAGAGAGTGTATACTTGCTTTATGGCCCACTTATACAATTTTCTAGAAAGTGCAAACTGATGGATAGAGACAGACAGATCACTAGTTAGTGCTGGGAATGGGGCAGGGTGGAAGGAGTATTATCATGGGGGATGAGGACACAAGGGCAGATAATCCTTGAGGATTATCAAGGCAGTGATGGACACATGTATTATCCTTATTGTGGTGATGGCTTGTGTACATATGTAAAATTTTATCAAACTGTGAACTTCATGAGAAGTTCATTGTAGGTTAATTATACTTAAAGGTATAAAGCAACAGTTCATTTAGGAGTGTGTCCACCATAAACTCAGACATATCAGTGAAGCAAAATTGCCCTATTATGTCCAACGTAATCTGATATATCCATTTCATTCCATTCCAATTAATTGAAAATGATCATGATCTACTATGCTGATTTCACAAATCACTAATGGGTTGATATTTGTAGTTTGAAAAACACTGCTTTAAGATCTATTTGAAAGAAATTGCTTGAGTCCATTGATGAGCCCTCTGAGTCTATTTCTCCATGTCCTCCATTAGCTCTCATCTTTTTTGTTTAATGTGGTTGAATAATTACATGACCTCAAATAAAAAGTTCCAATCATTTACATTCTTACATTGGACACTGAGATTTACTTGTAGCATTTTGCCACCTGCTTCCTTTAGACGAAGAGTTTTAGAGATTGTTAGTTTTTTGGAGATTGTTAGCTTTATGATCTGGTAATGAAAACTCTTCTGAGATGACTCTTAATTCAGAAGGAAGAGTATAAGGGGTTTTGGGGAGGTAGTAAGGAGGCAGTTACCTGGCCGCCCAGTGACTGTGGGTGCCAAAGCTTTAGGATGTTACTAACGTGGCCAGCAGCTGCTGTTAACTATCAATTCTCCCATAAAGAAAAGCAAGCAGGCTCTGGCAGTGAAACTATTCTTTGCGATGACTTTCTTCGTTTCCTGAGGAATGTCCTTTTAGTTGTTGTTTTTGCCTGCGCATGCCGAAGGCCATATGGAAAGTGGTTCCTGTTTGCGAATGCACAGTCCATTAACAGGGGTAAGTAGCTGTGTCTGTGCACAACAGGGTCCAGCCAAGAAGAGCAAAAGCTAGGGGAGGGCAGCAGAGAATAAAACATGCAGAAAGACATCCAGGCTTGCGGTAGTTTCAGCAGTCTGCTAAGAATTAATGTTCCTGTCGGCAGCTGTATTATGTGCCTGCAGTCTCTCTTCATTTACCTGTCTTCTGTGTCACAGGAAGTAGTGAGAGAATTTGCAGACTCAGTCCATTTCATGTCCACAAAGATTTGAATGAATTCAGATCCGAACAGGAATGAAACCCAGGCAGAGGTTGGAGTGACTCTGGCCTGGGCATTTTTCTTCACAGAGACTGAAGACAAGCAACTGCAAGAATTGCCATTATTTTCTGAGGCTTCAGCCTTCTGGGTGGTTCCAGAAGAGCCCGCTGATTAGATGCTCTATGTCGGGGCACAGGGTTGTAAGAGAGTATAAATTCCTCATCTTGGCAGAGTGGTTTAGGTCTCAGTTGATTGAGCTCTGAAAAAAATCTAAGATCTAGATTCTTCTTAGATAAGGTCAGAATTTGTGTAGTCTTGGGGTGGGGAATATATTGTTGCTGTTGATTCTGGGAAAACAGATGTATTGAGTTGGCATCTTGCTTGTTTAGAACCCAGAGAGAGCGCAGTAGAGTGAGAAATATTGATATTTGGGCTTGATGGCAGGCAAACCTTGGTTCAGGTTCTGTCTCTGTTGTCTGCAAGTCTTGTGACCTTGGGAAAACTGCTTAACCTGAACTCGAGACTTCTCATCTATAACAGCAGTTCTCAACCAGAATCAATTTAGCCTCCCCTCCAGGCCCTGAGTCCCCAGGGAACATTTGGTAATGTCTGGAGATGTTTTCTGATTTCCGATTTCACAACTTGGGGGTGGTAGGATGCTACCCACATTTTGTCGGTAGGAACCATGGGTGCTGGCTAAACATCCTACAAAGCACAAACAGGCCCTCCCAGGAAAAAAATCTCTGGTCCAAAGTGCCAATGGAGCTGAGAATCCTGGTTTGGGGATAATGTCTGTGAAGTTTTTGGGCTAAAAATGGATGACAAATCAGTTGTAGCTTCGTTGCCCAGAGACCACTTCAGGGTGGCTGATTGAAAACCAAGTTCTGGGGAAGCAAGGACTAATCGGGTCTGTCTTGGATTCAGAAAAAGTCCTAACCCTGGTATCCGAAGTCCACTCAAAGCAGTGGTGAGAGTGTTGCAAGGAGCTTCCTCAGTGGTGAAAGCAGCCAGCGGGGCCTGGGTGAGGCTCTACCATTTGCTATGTGCGAGTTCTTGGGCAAACCATCTCAGTCTACTTATCTATAAGATGGGAGGATAATAACACCTGCCTCCTATGGACGGTGCAGGCCCACAAAGGACAGGTCTGCTCAACTTCTGTTCTGTAATTGCAAGGGACGTGGTCCAGAGCCAGAGCAGAGGAGGCTGAATTTAATGGAAAGCTCTGGGCTTTCTGATGGGAAGTCTGAGCACAAATCAGACATGGGGAATCCACACAGCAGTAAAGAGCTCACCACCCCGCTGAGGACCCGCGCTGAGCTTCTGGGCCAGGTGCCAGGTGTTTATAGCTATCATCTCAGTGAGACCCCTTGACAGCTCTGTGGTGTGGTTTTTATTGAGCTATTTTGGTCTTGTTTTCCAGATATGGAAAAGGCTCCGAACAGTTAAAATAACTCCGTGAAACTCACTCAGCCCTGCATGGCGGAGCTGGCGTTTGGGATCCAGGTGTGCGCCAGCCTGTGTTTTCACGGGCTGACATTCAGAAATGCCCAACTTGGGGCAAATTCTATAGAAATGCATACCTATAGCAATATAAAACAGTCAAACAGTTGGAGTTTTCTACGTTTCAAAAAAAGGAAGAAACACTTGCAGCCAAGCCCCCACCTCTCGCCCCGGCTGGGATGACCCGCCTAGGGAACAAGGGGATGAGGAAATGCTGCAGACTCGGGGTTTCTGGCTGGTTTCCTCCAGTGACAACTGTTAAGTCCAGGAGAGCTGCCTGGCAGTGCCACAGAGCAGAGTCACTCCTGGAGACTGTTCCTCTGTAACCACTAAGGCCTGGCAGCCTGCGGTGTTGGTTACCCAGTGCTGGCACTTCTGCCATGAGGAGATAGTGTCTTTTTAAACAAATGTAAAATTTTTAAAATCCATTAAATTATTTAAAATTTTGATTAAATTTTTTAAATCGAAAGACCACACCTTATTACCACGTCATATACGTCTTAGGGGTGTCTCACCCCTGAGATCATCAACACAATAAGTTCACAAAAAGTCCAATTCTATTTTCAGACCAGCAACCCCACTGTCCCATTGGTCCTACTGACCCAGCCCCTTTTCCCCTCAAACCTTCTGGAACCCCTTCTTCCATCTTATCATCTAAAAATTCATTTTTGTTTCACCTAGGTCATTCGGCTGTTTTTTTTTTTTTCATTCGGCTGTTTTTAAGTACCTTTAAGTACCACACGTGCAATCACACCATATTTGTCTTTCTCTGTTTGATTTATTTCACTTAGCACAACCCCCTCTAGGTCGATCTGAGTGGTTGTACTTGGGAGGGTTTCCTCGTTTAAAAACAGGCGAGTCGTGCCCCTTAGTGCCTCACTCCCTCGTCGTCTTTATCCACTCATCTGCGGATGGCACTTAGATTGTTTCCAACTCTTGATTGTTGTAAATAATGCCGCGGTGACCATGGGGGTGCATGCATTTCTTCAAATTAGTGCTTTTGTATTCTTCAGATCCATACCCAGAAGTGGAATAACTGAATCACAAGGAATTTTTAATTTTTAATTTTCTGGGGCCAGGAGGAGATATTTGTCTAGAAGTTTCCGGAGATGCCTCTCCGACTCAGGGTTTCACAAGAGCAGTGCTGTGTGTGCATGTGTGTGCATGTGTGTGCATGTGTGTGTGCGCATGTGTGTGTGCATGTGTGTGTGCATGTGTGCATGTCTGTGTGTATGTGCATACACACCTGTGTAGTGGGATGGGGCCACAGAAGCCCGGGATTGAGGAACCAGCAGAACCAGGAAAAGTTTCTGGGTGGAAGCTGTGCCCTTCAAAACACACAGCTCTGTTGCACTAAGGGAGGAAACGGTGCCTAAAAGGAGCCGAGAAGCCTGAGCTTCTGCGAGACTGGTAGGGTTAGATACCAAAGCAAGGATGTCAGAGCTGGGGCTGTGAAACAGGTGTCGTTTCGCGGTGTCTGGCTTTCCTGAGGGTCTCCACCCTGTGTTGGGAGGCATCACACACTGAGAAGCCCTAGCAAACCACCAGCCCTCCCCGCTGCCTGCCTCCCTGCACACAGGATGGGTCTGGCGGCCTCCCAAACTCTAGGCAGAACACAAAGGGGACCCGAGCAGTGACCACAGGCCTCAGAGCCGCGGTGTGTGTTCTGTGGGAGGCTGTGCGCTTCCCCCAGCAGAAATATTCTCCCAAGTTCACTAACCTGCTTGTTTAAATATAGGAGCGGAAACAGATGCTGGCTGGGCGGAAGTCTCTGGGAGAACAGGGCTGCGGCCGTGGCTTGCTCGGGCTGATAAGGGCATGGACTGTGCGCTGTGCCAGGCCTTTGCTGGTTTGCTTCGGGAGCTTTCTGGCGTTGCCCTCAGCTCCCACCACCACAACTTGGCTCCTTCACAAACTCCTCCTCATGACTGACATGGCGAGGAGGGTTATTTTGAGCTGGTCTTTGGGACTTCCTCTTGGCCTGCATCCTCGCTGTCTGTCAGAGGCCCTGAGAGCAGCTTCCTGCTGAGGCCAGCTCCAGCTTGCACCGTAATACATGTCAGCTTCTGGGAAGTGAGGACTCGCCTGGCAGACAGTGACAGGGCCCCAGGGGTGCCAAGGCCACTGTCCCGGAAGATAGAGTCCAAACCCAGCTGTTCCCATGAGGAGGAGCAGGGAGGTCCAGCTTCAGGCCCGGGTACTAGAAGTGGGTGGGAGCTGACCAGTCACTACTTGTGGAGCCTGCAGTTCCAGGGTGCGAGGGGCCATGCAAATGGGTCTGAAGGCCCCAGAGATGATCCCGATAGGGGGCTGCCCCCTTTCGAGACCAGGGTACACTGACAGGACTGACTCACCTCTGCGGTGTGGGGAACACCCCTCTGGTGGTCACTTGGCTTACAGGGTTCCGGAGAAGCACATTCATCCGGCCAAGCGCACCACCAGCATCCTCAAATTGTGTCTCCGATGAATCACCCGGTGCCCCACCCCTTCCACCTTGCATGAGAGTTAGAGCTGGTGGGTGGGGGGAGGGGATGGAGGAGGGCGGGCCCGCACTGACGCTGCTACCACGGCTTCTGGGAGATAATTCACCCTCACAGGCCCCCAAGAGCTCTGTCTCTCCTGCCTTCAACGTCTTCCAGTTCTCAAACCCGCTACCAGGCATCTCCAGAACCAGCCGCATGCCCCAGGGACAGTGTCTCTGCCAGGGGCCTCCTTCCTGGTCAACTGCCAGGAGCAACCCGACAGCATCCCCAGCTCTTGGCAGCTCCAGTCCTGTCCCATCTCTTAGGTCGGCCCAACAGCCAGGGCCTGAGACTGCCTCCCAGCTGGTGATGTCTCACCACAGTGGCAGAGCTGACACAGTTCAGTATATGGGTGCTTCCCAGCTACAGCGGCAGGAAAGCACAGAGCAGGATCTCTATGATCCACGCTGATGGGTAAAGGAGAGTCCTGGACCCCTCGGTGGCTTTTTAGGGTTTTACTGAGCTTTTACCAGGTACACGGCAGGCAGGGGTGCTGGGGGGCCAGGAAGCAGGCAGGCCTCCCGGCCCCCGGCAAGTCTTCATCTTTCTGGGCTCTCTGGTGTTCTCTCATTCTGCTGCTCTTTCTCGTTCTCTGCTGTTCTCGTTCTTCTGCTCTCTTCTCCTGGTTCTGCGTGATGCTGCCCTTATAAGCCCCATCTCCGCCCAGGTGCGCCCACCTATGCATGCCCACACCCTGCTCCAGGTGCCCACCATCAGGCATGCACGTAGGACCCCAGGGATCCATCATTAATGCCAATGGCAGGAGGGCGGAAAAGCCTGATGATCACTTACCCTACACTAGCCAAAGCACAGGGAAGTGGGGCTCAGCTCTTGCCAGCTGGGGGCCCGTTCAGCAGCTTCAGTGAAATCAGGGGGAAGGTGCAGCGTGAGTCCTGGGGGCCAGGCCACTGAGCGCGCGATACTTCGAAATGCCCTTCCAGGCTAGTATCTGGTTCAAGAACTAGGCTTTTAAATCAAGCTTTCCTGCTGTATGCCCTGAACGTATGCAGTGGTGCATGTCAGTCACCTCTCAATAAAGCTGGAAAAACCAACAACAACTAGGTTTTCACCCTGGATACCCCTTAGGGAAGGAGTTGGCCCTACGGTCATCTTTTTGTTGAACTCAGGATTCTAGACGCTCAGCCTCTGCCATTCATCTGTAGGGACTAACACCCGGCTCGTGAGGTTGCAGCGAGACCAAGCCAGCAGAGCGGGGCAGGGTACATGGGGCCTCTCAGGTCCCTGTGGAGGCTGACCCCACCGCTCTCACAAGCAGTGTGACCTCGGGCAAGTTACCGGGACTCTGTGTCAATTTCCTTATCTGCACAGAGCAGGTGGCATGGAAATGCTGGGCCGTGAGAGAGCCTGTGCAGAGAGAGCACCAAGCTCTGCACCAGCCCAGAGGACGCCCGCAGAGGGATAGTGTCTGTGCCTGTGTCCCTGCTCAGAAGCCCTCCCGTGGCTCCTGACACGCAGTAGGCGGTCGACATTTAGTAATTATTCTCTTCCTTTCTCATCAATGTGAGGTGGAGGAGGTGGTGAAGTGTGTGTATATGGGGGAGGGGGTGTCCACAATGCACATGCACTCGAAGCTGGGAGCCAGCTAGGACTTGGCTTGTGATCTGCACCTTCTTTGGGTCCTTGTCCTCACGGGTGAAATGGAAAGTGGGACCTGTTGTCTTCTAAGATTCATTTCAGCTTTAACATTGAACTTAGTGCTAAAAACGTCATCATAAAGGGTGTGCACACGCTCCCTCGTTTGGCCAAGACCCAGCGGAGAGTTGCTCTTTGCACGTAGCGGCGGGAGCAGCGGCGGGGCCATGAGTCTTGGGATGCACACCCGGGCGCAGCAGCCTGGGGTTTCTGGCGGGGATGCAGGCTTTGGCCTGCTCCTGGGGTTCTTGCATCTTCCTGCCACAGCCTGCACCCCCCGGCCAGCTCCCTTGTAACCCCACGCAGGCTGCCCTCGCCTCCCTGCCCATGTTTCCAGTTTGCAGACTGCAGGGAGTTCACGTTGGTCATTTGTTCCATTCGCTCAGAAACAACAGTCGGCATTATTGGCAGGAAATGGTGAGGGTGCCAACTCCAGGAAAGCACAAAAAGCCCTAGTCATGGGCACGGGCGGGGGCGGGGCTGGGCTGGGGACGGGCAGGGAGGCTCACAGGCTGAGCTGTCTTGCCTTGACCCAGGACTCTGTGGCCCCAAGAAGTCACGGCCCTGGAAGCAAGTTCTAGCTTTTCTCTGGGGATGGCCAGAGCAGCCCTGTCGACCATCTTGGGGGTGCCAAGGAGGGAAGGGGCTGCTCTCCTGGCTCCACAGCCCAGCCCTGAGGCTGAACCCTTGGCCCAGCACAAATTCTATTTCTTTGTTCCTTTGAAATCAGGAAAGATTCCAGAGCTAATGAAAGATGAGATGATGTTTGCAGTTTAGAGTTGAGAGAAGGTACAAATAAATGTAATGCACACGAAAGGATGCTCTCCCGGGCCCCCGCGCTTGGCGGGCAGCTGTTTGGGCTGGGGCTGCAACAACATTCAGCAGCCCCTAAACCCTGCGCAGGAGGGCGCCCCCTGTTCTCCTGGTGGTACTCCTGAGCTGCTGGCGCTCGCCGTCAGCTGTGGCTGTTGCTCAGGATCACCTGGCTCTTGAGCCCAGTCCTGGGCAAGCCCCCTGCAGCATCTCGGGCCCAGCGGCTCCCGGGCTGCCTTGCTCCCAGGCTCACCAAGGAGTGGGGCTGGGGCTGGTGGGGAGCCCACCCCTCAGGCCTGCTTGGGCTTCTCTGGGTGGGCCCTCCTCCA